TTATTTAATTAATATTTTAAACTATAAAAAATATGATTTATCATAAAAAAAATGAAAATCAATTATAAAATGACAAGTGTCAACTTTTTTAGGAGAGAATGAGTCTCTCATGAAGTCATGATTATCTTAATTGAGAGACTTTTTCATTGATATCTAAACAATTTTTTAAAAAAGTAATTTAATTTTAATTTTAATCTTAAATGAAAGATTCTCCCGTTAGAAATCTCCAATAGAGATGTTCCAAAAGTAAAAAGTTTTGACGAATGTTGACGTTAGTTTTTTTTTACAATGGCATGTGTCTACGTCAAAGCTTCATCATTCAACAATCAACACTGAAAGTTTTGTTTATTAAATTTACGTTTATATATGAATATCGGACAAAAAAATCATCTAACACATTTTTCCGTATTCGAAATGTAGTACTATTCTCCATTTCTCCTTCATTGATATCTATGTAAATCCCGACCTTGCTGAAGATGCAGCGGACTTATTTTCATTACGAAGTTTTTGTTGAGAAAAATAATATACCCCTAATACAAAATATTCTTTTTTATAGTATTCTTGAGAAATGATATTTTCTTTTCAACAAATAAATATAGAAAATATTGAACACAAAAATACCATTTTTGGTGTGTACATTTGCAAGAATACCATTAGAGATGTCCATTTGCAAAAATACCACTAATTATGGATTTTTAAAATCTAAATTTTAAAATTATAAACCTTAAAAAATGTTTTGACCCCTAAAACTTTTTAAACTCTTAAAACTAAATTCTAATACAACATAGTTAACCCAAACATAAATGATATAGTGAAAAAAATAATTTTGAAAAAGTAATATTTTGCAAAGATTTTGAAAATGTGGCATTTTGAAAAGTGGTATTTCTTAAGATTATATATCTCTCTTCTTTTTTTTTGGCAACTTCTTGAAATTATATATCTTATTTTTGGTTGGTCAAACCCCCACAATTTATTTCCCAAAAACGTGACATTTTACTGTTTTAGGTATACTTGAAGTTTATGATAAAATTTTTGAGATTTTAAAATTTCATTCAAATATACACATTTTAAATAGAGATTAAATTCATTAAAGTCTCTAGTCTACTTCTACCTATCCCCTAAATCCAGTCCGACCGGTCCGGTCTAACCGATCCGATTAGGAATAGCTTTTATACCGGTTCAACGTTTTGCCAAACAAAGCAAATCGCCGCCAAATTGAGTAAACGGATGCTAGTAGTAATAGTACAGTAAATCTGACTTTCCAAATTTTGTTTTTTCTTTGATTTAATGAGCTAATTTAAAAACAATAGA